CAGTTGAACTTGACCAACATGAGTCTGAATTGCATAAATCCACTTTTAAGCAGATTTTCTACCACCTCTGCCCTGAGACAGCAAGACCAACCCCCTCCTCTTTCTCCTCCTCCTCAGCCTACTCAGCCAACATTTGTGATGATCCACTTCCACTTAATGAATAGTAAGTATATTTTATTTTACTTATTATTATTATTATTAGAGACAGGGGCTTGCTGTCTTGCCCAGGATGGCTTGCAGTGGCATGATCATAGTTCACTGCAGCCTCGAATTCCTGGGCTGAAACAATCCTCCCACCTCAGCATCCTGAGTAGCTAGGTCCACAGGCATGGGTTACCTACCATGCCTGGCTAATATATATATATGTGCATATATATATATGTATGTATATATATCTATATTGTGTATAAAATATATATCATATATAAATATGTATTTATATATGTATATATACATGGTTTTTTTTTTTTTTTTTTTTTTTTTGAGACAGAGTTTCGCTCTTGTTACCCAGGCTGGAGTGCAATGGCGCGATCTTGGCTCACCGCAACCTCCGCCTCCTGGGTTCAGGCAATTCTCCTGCCTCAGCCTCCTGAGTAGCTGGGATTACAGGCACACGCCACCATGCCCAGCTGAATTTTTGTATTTGTAGTAGAGACGGGGTTTCACTATGTTGACCAGGATGGTCTCGATCTCTTGACCTCGTGATCCACCCGCCTCGGCCTCCCAAAGTGCTGGGATTACAGGCTTGAGCCACCGCGCCCGGCATATACATGGGTTTGTTTGTTTTTTTTTTTTTTTGCTAGAGATGGCTAAGAGGGCTGGGCATGGTGGCTCATGCCTATAAGCCCAGGATTTAGGGAGGCTGAGACAGGGTGTTGCCTGAGGCCAGGAGTTTGAGATAGCCTGGGCAACATACCAAAACCCATCTCTACAAAAAAAGAAAAAATGCCAGGTGAGGTTGCTCACGCTTGTAAACCCAGCACATTGGGAGGCCAATGTGGGTGGATCACAAGGTCAGGGGATCGAGACCATCCTGGTCAACACGGTGAAAACCCATCTCTACTAAAAATACAAAAATTAGCTGGGCATGGTGGTGCATGCCTGTAATCCCAGCTACTCAGGAGGCTGAGGCAGGAGAATTGCTTGAACCCAGGAGGCAGAGATTGCAGTGAGTGGAGATCATGCCACTGCACTCAAGCCTGGCAACAGAGTTGAGACTCTATCTCAAAAAAAAGAAATAGCCGGGTATCGTGGCATGTGCCTGTAGTCCTAGCTACTCAGGAGGCTGAGACAGGAGAACCCATTAAGCCCAGGAGCACGAGGCTACAGTGAGCTAGGATCACACCATTGCATTCCAGACTGGGTGACAGAGTGATACTCTGTCTCTAATTTTTTTTTTTTTGAGACGGAGTTTCACTCTTGTTACCCAGGCTGGAGTGCAATGGCGCAATCTCAGCTCACCGCAACCTCTACCTCCTGGGTTCAGGCAATTCCCCTGCCTCAGCCTCCTGAGTAGCTAGGATTACAGGCACGCGCCACCATGCCCAGCTGATTTTTTATATTTTTAGTAGAGACGGGGTTTCACCATGTTGACCAGGATGGTCTCGATCTCTTGACCTCGTGATCCACCCGCCTCGGCCTCCCAAAGTGCTGGGATTACAGGCTTGAGCCACCGTGCCCGGCCCTAAAGGAGAAAATTCTAAGTGCAGCTAGAGAGAAAGGTCAGGTTACCCATAAAGTGAAGCCTATCAGACTCACAGCAGATCTCTCAGCAGAGACCCTACAAGCTAGAAGAGAGTGGGGGTTAATATTCAATATCCTCAAAGAAAAGAATTTTCAACCCAGAATCTCATATCCAGCCAAACTAAGTTTCATAAATAAAGGAAAAATAAAATTTTTTGTTAACAAGCAAGCACTCAGAGATTTCATTACCACCAGGCCTGCTTTACAAGAGCTTCTGAAAGAAGCACTACACACAGAAAGGAACAACCAGTATCAGTCATCCCAAAAACTTACCAAAAGATGAAGAGTATCTTTATAATGAAAAATCTATATCAACTGATGGGCAAAATAGCCAGCAAGCATTAAATGACAATATTAAACTCACAAATGTCAATATTAATCCTAAATTTAAATGGATTAAATGCCCCAATCAAAGACACAGACACGCAAGTTGGATAAAAAGTCAAAACCCATCGGCATGCTGTGACCAGATCCATCTCATAAGCAAGGACACACAAAGATTCTAAACAAAAGGTTGGAGGAAGACTCACCAATCAAATGGAGAGGAAAAAAAAAAAAAAA